ATGAGTTGAGTCAGGAAAAAGTGTTACACTTCCTTTTTTCCAAGATGAGAAGAAAGACTAACAAGATTTTTACTATTTTTAAAATACACCTGAAGCAACTGAACACAAGGGCAAGTACTGCACAAGGAGGACAGTAGATAAAATACAGCATTTCTAAATATCTGAAGAAGTTAGAACAACACTGTTGTGGATAGAGTTTATTGGCAGGATCAGAATCTGTTAACATACCTTCTCGGTCAAAAAAACCTTGGAGAGCCTTTTTTGGATCCTTTATATAAAAGGCCTCCCTTTCCTGCTGGAATTCTAAGACAATGGGGTTCTCTTCAGCCTCATCCTCTACAGCATCTTCTCCTACAGGATATGGGAAAAGAAAGAAAAGACAATCAAACAGAAGACGAAACTATCTGAATGACACCCACTATCCTTTTCAGGCTACATAAAGCTACAGCTATCAGCGATGAAAAGAAGGAGATAGGGGAAGAACAACCAAAACACCACCAATATTGACATCTTCAGGTTTTCTAAATTGTGTGACAAGTTAAAACTTGTTTTCATGGCACTTTTTTTTTTTCTCGATCACTATAATTTAAAAGCAAAATTACCTACCACATTTTCTATGGGGGAAAAAAAAAAAACTAAGCTCCTCAGCCTGGCCTTCTCATTCTCTCATACCGAAGTCTCATACTTTACCTCCAATGTAATTTCCTAATACTTCTCAAATAGACTGGTCTATTCATTACTCCATTAAAATCATCAATCCCTGCCCTGAACACCACTCCCAGTGCTCAGCTTCATGAGGGCTACTATTCCTTTCCTTCAAGTTACAGCTCAAAACCCTTCTGCTTATCAAGTTTCCCAAAGACCTAAGTCTGTGCTGCCCAACAAAAATATAATGAAAGCCATATATGTATTGTAATCTAACATTTTCTAGTAGCCATGTTAAATAAGAGAAACAGGTGAAATTATTATCATGTAATCAATATAATAATATTATAAATGAGATCTTTTACATTCTTTTTTCACACTAAGTCTTTGAAATTCAGTGTGTAGTTTACATTTAGGGCACACGTCAACTTGGACTGGCCACACCGTAAGTGCTGCTAGTGGCTACCATATAGAACAGTGCAAGTCAAAGTCCTCAGGGATTGCCCCTTTCTCTGAACCCTTACTCTAGCATGGTTTCTAGCTGTTTTTGGCACTTACCACAGTAATTTCATAATATATATCCAGTTCTCCCCAAAACTATTAAATCCATTTTCTATCTTTTTTATATTCCTAGCTCCTGAATATCTATCTATTCCTAGCTCCTTTGGCTAAGGGACCAGCTTTCTCTGATTAGATATTTCACATTTCAGGATATTTACACAAAGTACAAAAAGTTCAAGGGGATATCCTATATCGAATAACATTCCATTTTATTTGTTTGAATGTAGTCCCAGCCCCTCCAGTGATAATCAAGGTCACTACTTAATAATAAAAATAAAAAAATTTTCATGGTAAAAATACTAAATTAATTGTATGCTGAGGAAGTGTTTTGAACAAGGGAGTGAACTGTAAAACACAGTAAGAGAAATCCATAGTGCCCATAATTCAATTTTCTGACATCAGAAAAGTTAATGACACTCTGGGTTTTGGTAACCTCATGTGCAAATTGTATTTGTCCTATCTATCTCAAAGAGTCATGAAAACCTGTATGATAAAATTTTTCAGGGTACCATTGGAATGAATTTAAAATATTAACATCTGGCAGCAGGGACTGGCTGAGTGGCACATTGGTTAAGAGTCAGCTTGGGACACCAGCTCTGAGCAGCAGGACCGGGGTTAGGATCCCACATGAGGGCCAGTGACGCTGCGCCCTCTACAGCTAAGATGGTGAACAACAGCTCAACCTAGAGCTGGGCTGCCATGAGTCCACCGCCAGTGGGGCTGCAGTGGGCTGACATGAACTACAGTGAGCGGCCCGCAGCAGCCGTGAGCAGCAGTCCAATGGCCGGCTAGCGACTGCCTCACCAGGGAAAAACACAATGATCACAATACCAGCATGGACCAGTGAAGCGATGTCCTCCACAACTAGACTGAAGAACAAAAGGATAGCAACTTGTCTGTTCCCCTCCCCCAATTCCCCAATTAAAAAAAATCTTTAAAACACAACAACAAAACATCTGGCAGCAGTTATAACGTCTTACCCATTCCCCAGGTGCAGCCCATTTCATCATCTTGACTACTAGCATTTCTCTTTCCTTCAGTGGTATCTGTTTCCTCCTCTTCATCTGAGTCGTCTCCCAGCATCTTCTTCTCCAACATCATTTGTTGCTTCTTGCGCAATTCCTTCAATTGCGTTACTGTCAACTCGGATTCTGCCTCTCGGTCTTCCTCTGGTCCCTGATGAACCAAATAAAAGAATTATTTTAGAGTTCAGGACTGCTGAAGTCACTTTCAGAAATATGGCAATGTGTCCAGAGGTCTGGAGGTAAGGGGCAAGATTCCTTCACTTTTGTAATCAATGACTAGGAGACTCTCCTTCCTCAGCGCAAGTTGCAGGAGCTCGGGAAACCAGCCCAGTACGCTGCAGAGATTTCAATTCTAGGTGTTTCTACTTACCTGAAGAAGAAAGAGCCGGGTGCTGCCACCAAAGCGAAGAACATGCCCTACGTGGACCCGGCAATAGGTGCGGGGTGGAACGCGGGTTTTGTTGAGAAAAGTGCCGTGGATGCTTCCCAGATCGTAGAGATAGAAGCCAGGCCCGCGGCCGTCGCATTCTCCGTCGGGGCCGGACGCTCCGTGCTGCAGCACGGCGTGGTACCGAGACACCGAAGGGTGCTCCAGGCACACATCGCAGCTAGGCAGCCTCCCGAAAAAGCAGCAACTCGTCCCTTTCAAGCTACGTGTGCCAAGGATGGTACCGCCTTTCAGGGTCTCTAGGCTGTAGGGGGCCGTGGCGGGGCCACCCCACATCGGCTCTCGGTAAGGGGGACCCCGGGCCGGGCAGCCGGGGGCAGGAGCCGCTGTGGGGGGCCGCGGCTGCTCCTCCGGTGGACTCCTAGCCTCCACGCTGTCCGGCCCGGCCGGCGGGACGTTAGGCTCCCCAGAATGGGGGTCCAGCGGCGCCGCAGGCTTCTCCTTCACCTCCTCAGGGTTTGAAGGATTAGGGGCCGGGAACTTGCCCCGCACCGCCGGGGGCATCGGCAGGGCTGGCTTTTTGAAGTCGCCATTAAGTTCTTGCAAAGCCGTTGGCTCGCAAAGTGGAGGGCTATCGGCCATCCTTAATCGGGTGCCTTCTCGAAATTTGATCCTGGGAAACCTTACCCTTCGGCCTCTACGTTCCTCTCCACGCCTCCCTCTCCGCAGCTCCCAGCGGCTTCTCTGGGCAGCGATGGTGGAGTAGCTCGGTCACGACTCAGAGCATTATGAAGATGTGCGTATCACAATAAAAGAAAAACAAAAAGGCGGTCGGGCGTGCTGCCAGAACGGGGACAGGTTTAGAGGTTGCACATTGAGCTGTAATGACTTCCTACGGCAGAGCCTGATGGAAGAAGCGCTTCCGGCAGCCATGGACCACTAATCAACAAACCAGCCTTCCGGGCCAGAAGTGATCCTCGCCTCGGGCCTCTCGGAATCGTGCTGCCGCCCTGCCCGCTCCCGAGACGCGGCACTGAAGAGTGGCACCTTCTTGCCTCGGTCCAGGTCCAGGTCCAGACCTCCTCGTCTCCCAGCTGCCCTGGGCATTAGGCGACTCCAGAACCCTGTGATTGGCGCCTGCGCCTGCGCCTGCCGAGGAGCTCCCGAGGAACCTGGGCATTCCTTGAGCTTGGTGCCTGTTCTTCGTGCTTCTTTAGGTGAAGTTAGGGAAGAGGGCGTTTTTGTTCTTGTTTTTTTTTTGTCCTTTCGTTCATTCATTTATTCGTTCATTTTTTTTTATTTCTGAAACCAATTATTGAGGCAGCATAGTGTAGTGGTTAAGAGTGCAGACTCTGGAGCGTGTCTTGATTTCCCCCTTTGGCCATTTGTGACAGTGGGCAAGACAGTGTGGCCTCTTCCACGTATGAAAGATGGGATAATAATATTATCTGTTTCACTGGGTATATTGAATTAAACAATTAAGGCAAAGCCTGGCATATAGTAAGCACTCAGTAAATTCCAGATGTTACTGTGAGCCAGACACTACTAAGATCATAGTTTTAAAGATAAGTGAGAGAATAAAATCAGTTGAAATAAGTACTTATTGAAATCCAAGGATAAATGTTGTGATGGAGACATGCAAAGTGCTACAAGAATATAACGGAGGGGAGGTTATGGAGGGTGGTGACTTAAGCTATACTTAAAAATGAGTGATTACAAATCTACCAGGGATATGATGGGTGGCAGGGAATTTCTGGCAGACATCACTGACAACTTAAAAGGTCAATGGTGCAAATGCATGGCATTCTCAAGAAACTGAGTACTGTGATATTGTTAGAGCTAAGTAGTATGATATTGTTAGAACTCCTCCAGGAAGCTCCTCTGTGCTTCCACTGCACTATGTCTGTGCCTCTAGAACAGCACTTACCACACATTTTCATATTGAAATGTTCTTTTTATGTTTTTCTCCTTTATCTCAGGTCAGGGATCTTGCATTGGTTTTTGTCTCCTCCCATAACGCCTGACATTTGATTAATGTTTGTTGCATTTGAACAGACATATGGGCAATGAACCTGGAAAGATGGGTTGAAGCCAGATGTGAATTTTGTTGAATGGTAGGCCAAAGAATTCTGACTGGCTTTTTCCAATCGGCAATGGGAAAGCATTAATCTGAGTTTTCAAAAGATTAAGTCTAGCAGCACTGGAGAATGGATTAGATACAAGGAAAGACTACAGGAAGGGATACCAGTTAGGAGTCGGCAGAAATCTCTTCCTAAATGTATATTGGAAGTTGGACACATTAAGACCATCTAGGGCCGGCCAAGTGGTGTGTTGGTTGAGTTGGCTTGGGACGCCAGCTCTGAGCAGCAGGGCCCCGGTTAGGATCCCACATTAGGGCCAGTGACGCTGCGCCCTCTACAGCTAAGATGGTGAACAACAGCTCGACCTGGAGCTGGGCTGCCCTGAGTCTCTGGCAAAGGCTAAGGCTGCAGTGGGGCTGCAGTGGGCTGCCGTGAGCTACCGTGAGTGGCTGGCAGCGGGCATGAGCTGCCAAGAGCCACTGTGAGCGGCCGTCCAGGGGCTGGCGACCGATCTGCCTCACCCGGAAAGAGCGCAATAATAATACCAACATGGGCCAGTGTCCTCCACAGCTAGACTGAAGAACAAAAGGACAGCAGCTTGTCTGTTCCCCTTCCCCAATTCCCCAATGCTGTTCCCTTCCCCCAATTCCCCAATAAATTCTTTAAAAAAAAAAGGACGTTTAGATTACCGGTCAATATATTTTCCACCAGAACCAGGTAATAGGTTCCCATACCTGACTCACAGAATAAGAATCACCTCTTCCTAATTTTAACTCTACTCCCTTTTCTCCTACTGATGCAGGACATGTGTCAAGATATTCTGAGAAATATTTAAGTATCTGACTTTGCAAATTGTCCAGAATTGGGAATGATGATAATTCTAGGATTGAGTTAGTGGGATGAGATGGAAAATAAGGACACTATAGCATCCCAGGTACTATTGTAGCTATTAGTCTACTAATGACACAAATTCTACCTTGTGGTTCAGTCCAGTAGGAATTGTCATTGTGTGTGATTTGATGACTGTCATCTAACAGTTGTATTTCTCTTAATTTTTTCAGGGAGAACATCTTTGGTCCTACAGTGTTTCTAACACTGACATTTTTCTAAGTGGTCTTGAACAGCCTACTTTTTATGTACATAACTGGCTAGAGCTCATATTTTTCACTTCAGAAGCCTACAATCTATAGTTGCCAGAGATTTAAAAACACTGCTTTAAGGATATCACCTACATTTAACTTGAAAGCTCTTCCTTTCTTATTCCAAAATGTTGAGATACTGGGGAGAGATACCAATGTCATCAAACCAGACCAACAGAAGTTCCTTTGATTTGCTGCCACGTGAGTTCCGTCTGGTGGAAGTCCATGACCCACCCCTGCACCAGCCCTCAGCCAACAAGCCCAAGCCCCCCACTATGCTGGACATCCCCTCAGAACCATGCAGCCTCACCATCCATACCATTCAGCTAATCCAGCATAACCGACGTCTGCGCAACCTCATTGCTACAGCTCAGGCCCAGAGTCAGCAACAGGCAGAAGGTATAAAGACTGAAGAGAGTGAACCTCTCCCCTCCTGTCCTGGGTCTCCTCCTCTTCCTGATGACCTCTTGCCTTTAGATTGTAAGAATCCCAATGCCCCATTCCAGATTCGGCACAGTGACCCAGAGAGTGACTTTTATCGGTAAGTCAAGGCTTTTCTATATCCCACTTTTCTCAAAAAAATCTTCCCAACAATCCTGTTAAGTATGTAATAACATTTCCATGAGGAAACTGAGAATAAGAGTAACTGACTAACTGACTTGGCTAAAGTTGCTCAGGTAATTAATGGAAAGTCAAAGACTTGAACCCTGATCTTTGAAATACAATGTCTATATTTTTTTATTATCTGATGCAGCAAATATCTATTGAGTGCCTACTATGTATCAAGCACTTTACTAGGAGAAAGGTACTACACTGGTATGTGGAATAGACCATGGCCTTGTAATCCTCAGAATCTAGTCTTTTTTTCATTTAAAATGTATATTATGGATTTAGCTCAATGTCCTCAAATTGAGATTCATGGACTTATTCTGGTATTATTAGAAATCTACAAGTTCTATACAAGAATTTTTTAATTGATGGATTTTCATTTTGATAACAGTTTAAGAAATAATAACATAAAAACATTCTTTATCCTTGCTACTGTTGTTGTTATATAAGCATCTGTTGTTGTTATATAAGCATCTCCTAACTGGGACTGATTTTCTGAAAGGCCATATATTGCCCAGCATGTGATGAAACTATGTTCTGATGAAATAACTAGAGCACCACTGAGTAGTGTGTCTGAGCTATACTGTTAAAATTAATCAGATCCTAAAAGTGATTAAACTGAGCAGTTGGTCTAAGAAGGAAACTTCCTTTTATACTTTTTATTATAGGCATGTACTACAGAGGAGCTCAGAGCTTTGACTGTGGGTTGCTTAGACATGCCCTGATGGCAGCAAAGAGGAAAGTGGGTTATGTAACCTTCGTAGAATTGCCCTGGAAAGCTGGGCCAGTGGTGTGATTGGAATTGTAAAGCTCCTAGGAAGACAGGACAGGACAGCCCTTTGCAAGAGCACTAATAACACTACTCCCATGTCTCCACTTTCAGTGGGAAAGGGGAACCTGTGACTGAACTCAGCTGGCACTCCTGCCGGCAGCTCCTCTACCAGGCAGTGGCCACAATCCTGGCCCATGCAGGCTTTGAGTGTGCCAATGAGAGTGTCCTGGAGACCCTAACTGATGTGGCACATGAGTATTGCCTGAAGTTCACCAAGCTGCTGCGCTTCGCTGTGGACCGGGAGGCCCGGCTGGGGCAGACCCCTTTCCCTGATGTCATGGAGCAGGTGTTCCATGAGGTGGGCATTGGCAGTGTGCTCTCCCTCCAGAAGTTCTGGCAGCACCGCATCAAGGACTATCACAGTTACATGCTCCAGGTGAGGGGACCCTGTGGAGAAGTGGGTAACGATGTGAAATCTGAGGGTGTTCAGCAGGATCCCACAGCACTTTGAGGTAGAATGCAGAGCTCGGGGTCTTGGAACACACGGCCCTACCTGAGGCCTTCACTGGCCTCATCACTGACCTGGCCAGATGCAGGGGTCTCCTTTAGTCAATGAATGACCCCATTTATTGATAATACTTCCTCTGGGAGAAATTATAGACAGATATATGGAGTCTGAGAATGTGATTCTCATGCTTTCATTCAACAAACATTTATTGAGTGTCTATTGTGAATGAGGCACTGTGGGATAAAGCAGCTAACAATATAAGTTCCTTGAGCTTACAGTCATGTTGAGAGGGAAACAAAAACAAATAATCAAAACAACTTCAGATGGCATTAAGTGCTATGAAAAACAAAACAGAGTGAGGTGATACTGCCCAAGGGTGGAAGAGGGAAGAAGAGACACCATTTTTTGGTTCAAAACCAGAAATATCTCTTCAACACTTGTGGCCTTATGCATGTCATTTGTTCACTGTTTTGGTTTCACCAAATCTAAAATATCAAGGAATTTTTAACACTCAACAAAAGTCTTTGCAACGTGATCCAATTTTCCTACACCATTCATTATCCACCTAGGGTACATATGTCAACTTTTAAGTTTTTGTAGCCAAAAATGTGCTCTTTAGTCCAGTTCTGATTTATCTTTAACACACTAATTTTCACCTTTCTGTAACACTTAATGACACACACTCTCTGCAAACAAATTTTCTTTACATGTCTGTCATTTACAAATGCAAACTCAACACCTTAAAGCAAATTCTTTCCATTGGCAGTGAATGCTTTATTCATATTCATATTCTGCCGGCTTTTCCATGGGCTGCCACAGACTGACTATCCAAGTTGCTTTTAACATTTCCTTGGAAAACTGTCTGTTGTTTGCCAACAGATTAGTAAGCAACTCTCTGAAGAGTATGAAAGAATTGTCAATCCTGAGAAGGCCACAGAGGACACTAAACCTGTAAAGATCAAGGAGGAACCTGTGAGTGACATCACCTTCCCTGTCAGTGAGGAACTGGAGGCTGACCTTGCTTCTGGAGACCAGTCACTGCCCATGGGGGTCCTCGGGGCTCAGAGTGAGCGCTTCCCTTCTAACCTGGAGGTTGAGGCTTCACCACAGGCTTCAAGTAAGAGAAACAACTTACTTTGATTCTGGGTGATCTGCTAGTGTTGGTACTTTTTGCGTATGGAGTAATTAATACTCTGGAGATGGAAGAACAAAAAGTGGGAATGGGCAGCAGAATGAAAGCCTAAAAACAAATACAGCTTCACTGATCTAGAAATACCAACGTTCTTCTCTTTGTAATTAGAGGACTAGTCCAGCTGTACAGGCATTCTTTAAAATAATTCCTAGTTAGAATGCATTATGTGTTACCCTGTTGATTACCAGTTAATTCAGCTGACCAGCTGGGTGGACACATGTCCCCTTCTTCCCTCAGTTTATGTGTAGGTCCTTCCTGGTGCTTGTAATCAGTTGATTAAGACAGCTTCCAGATAGACGGAGGAGTGTTAATTGCTTGGGGACATTTGAGTAGTTGGGCTTCCTTGCTAGAGTAACCCAACAAGTCGGAGCTGAAAGGGATTGAAATAGGGCTACATAGTTGAGGCAGCTGGCCACTTCTTCCAGACAAACTCTGTGATTACCTTAGGAACCAGGGTGACTTGATCCTTAAGTCAGTCAGATTGTAAATTAGTCTAGACACGCAGTTCTTTATAAATTGTCATTTCATCAATGCACAAATGAGGCAAGTAGCAAATCCTCCAGTGTGGCCTAAACAGGCCAGTTTTTAAAGTGTTGGGCAGAGAGCTTTTCACATGGAAGAATAACCACAGAACAGTATTGCTAGAACACAGAGACAGGAGGGCCTTGTTGCAGACTTAGGGGCCATGTTGCTTTTCAGCAGTATGGGAACTGCAGGCGTTTGGTAGTGATCATTAACTTCTCATAATGGGAGAGAGGACTAGGGACCCAAACAAAAGGCAGGAGAATGAGACAGCCCCATAAAAAGAAGGCAGGCCAGGCAAACTCAACTCAAGAGCCCATGGCTGTGCTTGCCTTTGGGCCACGAGACAAGGAATCTTTCCACATACATAGTTTTACTTCCCTGATTTAGAAAAATGTAGGTGGGTGAGGCAGGGTAAAGGAGGGTAGAAGTGGAAAGGTAGATATTCACAGTTGGTAACTTTTTGAAGCAAAGAATTAAACCATATTGGGGAAGGGGGGTTGTTTCTGTGTGAAGGGTGAAAAGGATAACTATTGCATTGTTCTGTACACCTGACACTAACAATAAAAATAAATAAATAAAAAATTTAAAAATTTAAAAATAAAATAAACCATATTCTCAGTAGACTGAGTCAAGAGTCAGTATAAACTGAGCTCAAAGGCTATCACTCTGCCCTGGAAGATATGTATGTTCACTGTACTTTGTTCCAGCTTTGGCTTAGCACTAGTTGTATGTTCTTCCATTTTTAGGTGCAGAGGTAAATGCTTCCCCTCTTTGGAATCTGGCCCACGTGAAAATGGAGCCTCAGGAGAGCGAAGAAGGCAATGTGTCTGGGCACGGTGTGCTGGGCAGCGATGTCTTTGAGGAGCCCATGTCAGGCATGAGTGAAGCGGGGATCCCCCAGAGCCCTGATGACTCAGACAGCAGCTACGGTTCCCACTCCACCGATAGCCTCATGGGCTCCTCCCCCGTTTTCAATCAGCGCTGCAAGAAGAGGATGAGGAAAATATAAAAGGAAAAGAGGGAGATTTTGTCCGAACCTACAAACCCAACAGAAAACCTTCATGTGTTCAGATTTGTTTCCATAAATAGTCACTTGACTCTTATTCCTAAACACAGTGGATTTTCATGATTTCAGGGGAACTGGACTTACCAAACAAGTTTGCATTTTATTTTTGCATCCAGTTTTTGCAGTTTTCCACAACAACCAGCCACTTTTTGCAGACATATGACGCTTTGATGGTAGTTGGGAGACCAAAGCAATGTCCCTGACTGCTGTCCTTACTGTATGACTGGTCAAGTTGCTTAGCTTCTCTAGAGCCATTTCTCTTGCACAACGGAAAACAATCATGCCACCTGGACTTACCATGCAGGGACGTCAAGATCGAGCTGTTATTCAACCTCAAAGCTGTGCTTGAACAGACCCACAGTAAATATATGCTGGTATCAAATGTCAGTTTTTCATTTGTTTCACTTTTGGTTTAAGTCATTGGGAATCCAGTCTAATACCTAACAGGAAATAGTTAAATTCTGCACAACTTATCTAGCAGTATGTTTTTTAAAGTTTATGCTGCCCATGAAGTCGCTTATAAAACCAGTTCTGTGGTAACAGTCCTTATCTCATTCACATATTCTTCCTTCTCTAGATTTACTCTATCTTGCTCTTCCTTTTTTTTCATTTCCACTGACTTTTAAAAGTTTTCCCTATGTACATTTTTTTCAGTTTCTTTCATTTTCTCCTTTGTGGAGGAAACAGGACCCGTCCAAGGGCAGGCTTGTGCTTATTTCATTTGTTGCACCTGATTGGCCATCAGAGGACAGCATTCCATTCCTTTGCCAGAATTCAGCATCTGCACATTGTGCTTCTACTGGATGGCCAGCCTCTAAACTGCTAACAGAAGGCACCTTTCTACTTTCCATCATGTCCTGAACAACAGCTTTACTGTTCATTCATCCATCACAGTACTCCCTCGCTTGGCATCTGAGAGTTTCAATCAGTATTTATTAAGTAAGTGATGCAGCACTGGAATAATTAGGAATAATTAGCAAATGTGTGCTTTATGTCCTGGTAATAGAGGCTAGCATGTTAAATACTGCTGAGTTTTGTTTTTTGGGTGCAGAATACTAGACATCTAATATTTAATTCATTCAGTTAGGAAACACTGAGTACCTATCATGTGTAGGTCCTATGCAAGGGATACAAGGATGAGGAGACTTTGTGCCTGCCTTGCAAAGGCACTATGGGGAAAAACCAGGTATTTCAGAGTTTTCCTGAACAAAGGGTTTCCTCTTACAGAACAGGTTCAAATTTTTGGACCAGTGATTCCCACTATAGAATACTGAAATTAATACTTCATGGTAAGATAAAATGTTTTTATTTTTTTTAGAATGTTTAAATTGGAGAATAGGCACCAGATGGCCCAGGTGAAGGGACTCTGATAAAGCAGGTCATGTGAGGATTGATAGACCTAAGATTCACCTGGGCTGGAATTGTCACAGGCTGTTTAAATTAGAGCAGTAATTCAAGCAGATCCGAGTTTCTGATTCAGGTCTTCAGTGTCCCATTTCTAACAGTTTCCCAGATAATGCTTAGCCTCTGGTCCAAAGACACACTTTCAGAACCAATGAATTAGAGTACAGATTAGGCAGGGAAGAAATTCCTTAAGAGGAATGCATTTTAAGTTACTGTGAAGAATGTGGAGGCCGGGTAAACCCTTACCATGACTGTTATATAAGGAATGCACACCTGACCCAAATCTGTGGCCTTTGAGGACATCACCAAGGATACTTCGCATTAAGTTCAAATTACAATACAAACAGGGCCTGGCTCTGTACCTGGTTCCTAGGTATGTGTACAGGGGAAAAAAACATCACCTTCCTGAGACATGTTTGGACATGTGGTTTTAAGCCTCTTGAAAAGAAGTGAATCTATTTACCATTATATAATTTTCTTATTTGAAATTATGACAGGCAGGCTTACAACAAAGTTAAAATTCAAAACTCTTTATCCAAGTCACCATTGAAAGCAGAATTCTTATCATTTTGCCTACTTTCTTCAACAAACCTGGTGTCCTGTAATGAGCTACCCAGTGTGAGGCACATTTCATACCAACATTGATTGGTCGCCAAGGAGACTCCGCTGCCACTCTGGACAAGCTCGTATTTCCCCTCTCTCTTTCTGCTAAAAGGAGAGTAACTCGTGGGTCAACGGCAAGATGCCATGGAAGTAGAGGCTATAGATCCAGCCTAATAATAGAGATCTGAAGTGAACAATAAGCTCTCTATATTCCATCTGTCAGCAGAAAAAGTACTTGAATTCAAATGATAAAGCTTGAAGTTATACACCCGAAGGAGTATCAGCATCCAAGAACAGGCAGAATATCCTTCCTTGCGAAAGTCCCAGGGAAAGGTCAAGAGGAATCGGCATTTATGTGCCAGGTCCAAACATGTATCCCTCGCATCATCTGAGCCCGATTTCCCTAGTAAGAAGCTGCTGTTCTGAACACATTGTCCTTTATATTAAGCGTCAATCAGAAGTCAGGACAGCTGCTTCACAGAGTTCCAAACTTTGGGACTTCTAGCAACTATTTGTTGTTTCTCTTCCAGTACTGTGCCATTGATTCTTGCATAAAATTCTGGAATGCTGGCTCTTCATGGCTTTCCTCTGTAACTGCAAGGAAAAAAGATGGTCAATTCTTTTTAATCTCTCCCATTAAACAGGTGGATTAGAGCTGCTGTCACCCATCAGTCAAGAAACAGTACTCTATTTCTAAGAAACTGTTTACTCCCAGAAGCACACTCTATTTATGTTGCCCAAAATGTACAATTTCTTTTATCTATCAGTGCAGAGAATACCTCCTTCATAAAGTAACTAAAATGAGGTCCCACTCCTAAGTATTTTTATCCAAGTGAAAGAAAACGTATGTCTATACAAAAACCTATTAATGAATATTTACTGTAGCTTTGTTTATAATAGCTAAAATCTGGAAACAACCCAAATGTCAATCAGGTGGTGAATGGATAAACAAATTGTGGTACATCCACATAATGGAGTTATTACTCAGCAATTTAAAAAAACATTACTGAGGGCCGGCTGAGTGGCTCAGTTGGTTAAGAGCTCGCTCAAGAGTTTGAGCTCTGAGCAACAGCGGTTCGAGTCAGCCCGAGCTGAGCAG